CCGGTATTCTCGTTCTCGAAAACGCTCACCGTTTTTCAGTCGCTCGGCACTTTCAATGTAAATTTGCATTTAAAGTGCTGAGCGACTAGAAAGCGGTGAGCGTTTTTGAGAACCAGAATACCGGCCCTGCTACGTTGCATTTTGTTTTTCCCATAGCAACAAATCAATATTATAATTTGCGTCTATAGATACCACATGGAAAGTTCAAATAGGTTCGTGTTTTGTGGTTCAAATTTTCCATTTTTCGGTATATCATAAATTCTTGAGAGATGGAGACCTTCGATGAAGAAATATTCGAATCAGCGAATGCAGCAGTCGGCTCTTTGATTCCACAAAAATCCCAGAACCGGCACAATAAAGAATATGAACAATGGAACTTTCTCATTTTACCTGTGCTGCGCGCGCCGCTTGTGGGTGACAAATAATAAAATTGTCAATTGAATGAACGCGGTCTGATGCTGACTTTCTTTGAGCTAACCTCAATTATCAATCAATATTGCTGAAAATTATTACAAAAACTGTTTATTATACCATGGTTCAAATGTGTTGTGTATGATCTTGTCAGAGTGAGGCGGAAAAAAAGTCAAATCTTTCTTTTCACAAGTTGGAACAGAGATTTTAGGGTTCGTAAAATAACGATTTCTATATCAAATACAATGATAATTGTACAATTAAAGGTTTGCTAGCACTTGCAAAGTTGCAAATTCGTACTTCTCAAACTTTGTCATTCCACACAGGTATCGCGCGTCATTATATGTGTCTCTTTCTTTATTGCAGAAATCCTAATAAACTATCCTTGTTGTTCATCACATGAAAAAGGTCCATACAAACGTTTTTTTAAAAGAGTGCGGTAAAGAATTTTTACAGCACTGATTTCGGTAAAGAACTTTTACCGCACTGAGTGCGGTAAAGTACTACCTACGACACGCAAACGAGTGCGGTAAAGTGTACTTTACCGCACGCGAGTAGGAAAAAAAATTTACCGCACTGATATGTCAAAAAAAAAAAGAAAAATTTTACATTTTTACGCCTGTAGGAAAAATATTGTACCTAACACTTGCGGAAAATATTTTTCCGCACTTGTTAGGTAAATAGCTCTATGTCTTTTTCCTGGAATTTTCGAGTAAGTTCGTTTATAGAGAAATGCATACTAACCAATATGAAAACATTGTAAGAGATTTTAGATTTTTGCGATTTTCAATAATAAACCGGTGTTTTTGACGGTTAATTTTTGATTGTCAATGTTATTATTTTTATTTATTCATTTTGTCTTTGCATATTGAGCTCTCTGGGAGGTGTATACCCATTGTAACCATTACACCAGGCTGGATAAAGGTTCCCATGACCCAAGCAGAAAAGGAAGCAAAAAAAAAGCCAAGTTATTCTCAATGTAATTGCGAATTATAGGGGTGCCAGTCATGATTTTTTCATATGGAGGAATTCTCAATTATGTCATCTGTATAATATACGATTTACTTCTCCACTGTTCTAGCTCCCATAATCCAATTCATAGTTGAATGATTTCTTAACTACATATTCCCATTTATGCGTTTCACTGCTATTTCCGTCAACATCAAACAAATTTATGAATTTATGTCACGCTTTAGTCCCAAATCAAAACAAAAAATCAAAAAAAAAATTAGACGAAGATAAGCTTACGTCAATTGTGATGGTGTAGAATGAAAAAGGAAAATAGCAAGACCGAAAGGGTCTTTCTATTTCTTTTGACACTAGCAGGTAGTTCGGCGGGGTAGCGATTCTAGCCGAGTGGGGTTAGGGAGTTCCGTTTCGTCGATTTTCTATCATGGAAAGGAAATTTCTTCTCTATGTTGTTACAGAGTACGGCTGAGGAGGCGTACGTTCGCCGGTTCTCGAGTCCACAAGGTGTGCGAGTGACGTCACCACGTCAGCAGCTAATTGTGGTGACGTCACCCACAGACCTTGATGAAATGCTTGCGATTCAGGGTCGTTATTTGATTTTTCGTCCATTTCAAATGAAGAAATAGCTATTTATGTAACAAGTTGTAAAATGAGCGTGTTTTGTGCACTAAATGGGAAGATTGGGTGGAAAAAGCGGAAAAACCGGAACAATTCACGTGAAAAGCGGGACCTGAAATTATTAAAAAAAAGACGGGACCGATTAACAAAATGCGGGACTGTCCCTCCTAAAGTGGGACGTCTGGCAACCCTAGCATGTTGTAGGATACGAAACGAGCGCAGGCGAGTTTCGTATATAACATGCGAGTGTACTAATGGCCTTTACATGAGAGTTGCATACACTATTTTTTCTACTTCCATCAATAAACGAAATACATATTTATTTTAAGAATAGTAAACTTCTCAACTGGTGGTGCCATCCATTGACAATTTTGAAAATTGAGATCTAGACGTCATTTGGGCATAAATTCCGCACCCGATTTATTAATTTTTGGTTGTTTCTTTTGGTAAATCCAAAATTTTAAAACATGTTCAAAATAACTCGATTCCAGTGGCTGAAAAATCTGTATCATAATGAAAATCTGCATCATAATGAAGTTCATTATGAAACAGATTTTATTCGTTTAATTGGCGATTTCGACTACCGATGGGGGCGCTGGCGTTTGTAAACAAATATGGTGGAGAACGAGTAATAGACGTTCAGCATTGTATTTATATGCATTTGTATTTCTTTCGCTAATTTTCTCGTTGTTCTCGTAGTTTTTTCGGTGGTTTTTTACTATATTTTATAAATTTTGAACGTTGTGACTTTTTTTTGTGCATTTCGTATCCATACAACACGAAATATGGAAAATGGAGGCCTGTTTTTGAGTTTGGCCACAGTTTTATCCTACCTGCAGCATGGCGTAGAAATCACGAACACTATTTTTCTTAGGAAAATAACGGAAATGAATAGTTCTGGTCTGCACCTTTTCAGGAATGGCATTCGTATACACAGAGCAGTTTGTGTTAGGCTTGGACCGCTTGGACTTGGAGGCAGATGCCATTGCATTCCGGTAATATTAATATCACCTCACAGAATCACAATAAAAGCTTTCCCTTGATTATTTCCCACAAAACACGTAATTTAAATTATAGACCCTGAGATAGGACCTGTTTAGTGGAGTCATTTTTTTTTGTCTGGCATTTTGAGGGATGAATGTGACTAGTTAGCTGATGAGAATATAAGTGGTTTTAATGCCTGCCTCCTGTTCGAAATGTCCACAGAATGTTTCGCCGGAAAACTCGATTTCGAACTGTGATTACCGTCTGGCGATTTTTCAGCGTTATTTTCACAATAAAACCTTTCATTCTCTCGATTGCCAGACAAAAAGTAAACGCGGAAGGTTCTTTTCTTTTCTCTTGGAAGTTGACACCCATCCCCATTTTTTCAGCTATTGAAAAGCATCTGATATTTTTAATGGGTGAATTATTTATCAATGTCAATCTTTTATTTAAAAGCTAGAAAATTTGAGATCATTAAAAAAAAAATCTACATGTAAGTCAATTTTTTTCTTCTGCAAATTTTCGAACGGGTGGCCGGCATTAAAATCACCCATATTCTCATCAGCTTAGTAGCCACATTCAGCCCTTAAAATGCCAGACAAAAAAAAATGACTCCACGAAACAGCCCCTATCTCACAGTCTATTAGGAACGAACAGAAAACATCGAAAAAGCAAGAAAATATTCTTACTGCATGTAAACAAACGATCTATTACTCTTTAAGTTAGTTCCAAATATTTCCGCCAGGTGCCGCATTGATTTTTGAAATCGCCAATAGGCGTATTATGAAATGTCAGTAGAAAAACAAATTTTTGCGACGAATGTAGTTCATATTGTCCGTCGTTATTAATCTGACACTTTTCGTATGAGGAGCGAGGGGGTGAAGTATGTGGCAAAAACAGTAAATGTGACGTCACGTGATCATTGGCGTTCCAATGTGGGTGTCACTTAAGAAGAATACACACTCTAAGGAGTGCTTATCGGCCTCGTTTTTGGTTATCGCCGCCATATTGGTGTGCCACCATTGTCGACGTCATAACTAAGTCGTCAGCTGTTTAAACAGCCTACGTCATGGCGAGAAGTAACATGCTGCCTACGTTACAACTGGTATTTTGGTCAGGGGGGGGAAGGGGGGGATTTGTTACACACACGCCTTATGAGGATAGGCCATCCTATAGTAGTATCATAGACTTTAGTATTGTGTATCATCATCATCCTTGGGTGCCACCAGCTCACATTCCTTTGGAGTATCAGATTAAAATCGACGGACTTTACAAGGTCCGGTGAACTACGTTCAATATGACGTCATGAGTTTCTAGCGAAAGCGTTTGTGTGCATGAAATCATGGACGTAGTTCGTAGCGAAAACTCGGTTAGAAATTCATACCGATATGAAATCTGTTCGCACCCAACAGAAATCACAAACCAGTCAGAGCGAATTTTCTTGGCTGAAAACAGTCAAGGCGATTTCCATTTGTCAGTCAATGCGCACTGAGTGTATCCGCATCTTTTTCTAAAAGCATGTAACATGTAAGGATAAGGATACATTTTTTTTGCACTGGTCCGACAAATGGAAATCGCTGTCAGAAAACTAGTTTCAGTAGTTGTATTCCTTTCAAGAGCTTGAAGCACTCGAGCTACTCGCTCCGGTGTGTAGTCGCTCCCGATTTGCAGGGAACAGATGCGTGGTGCAACAAACACTTTTCGAAAGGAATAAGCGCGTGAAGCCCCGGAGCTGTTCCGGAGCTCTTCCTAGGTGTGAAAGGAATACAACTAAAATCTGTTTTTTTTTTAAGATAAAAGTCAAAATGACATTATGTTGGCAATACAATATAAAATTGTCAATGCTTTCAATTTTTTTATGTAGAAAAGGCTTGTGTTGCCAACATAGTTACTAAATTTTTGACTTGGGGAATTATCTTAAAAAAAAAAACAGACTTTATTAATGGTTTTAACTTTCAACTAATGAAATTCACTCTGACTGGTTTGTGATGTCTGTGCGAACAAACCTATGATGAACCTGGCAACGTCCACATTTTCCCTTCTGAGTTTTGTCAAAATCTGTCAAATAAACAACTAATGGGGTTATGGTTTTTGTTTTTAAAAATAAATTTGTTCAATTTGTTGGTGTTAATGAATATTATTGATAAATCCTAGAATCTAGATTCAAAAAGGGGATCCTTGACATAACCAATAATGAAGAAAAAGGTCAGTTCCCTTAAAATATTTGATTTTTTAATAAGAAATTTGAACAGGGGCGGAAAATGAGGGTTTTGCGCATTTACGCTTTGATTCAGAATTTCCACAACTTTATCACCTATTTGATAAAACCAATGCGTGCCGTATAGGAGCCCTTTGAAATGCAATTTTTTATTAAAAATTTACAGATAAGAATAGTAATGTCTGTTTTTTTTTAAAGATAATTCCCCAAGTCAAAAATTTAGAAACTATGTTGGCAACACAAGCCTCTTTAACATAAAAAATTTGGTAGCATTGACAATTTCACATTGTATTGCCAACATAATGTCATTCTGACTTTTATTTCAAAAAAAAAACAGACTTTACTATACAGGGTGACCAGCATGGCCCAGAACGGTGCCTCGAACGGTGCACAGCGCCCAACTTGAAATTTTTGAATGGGACACCCTTAGTATTTTATTTAGGCCACATATTTAAATTATTGTGTAAAGTCTGTTTTTTTTTTTTTTTTGAAAGATAATTCCCCAAGTCAAAAATTTAGTAACTATGTTGGCAACACAAGCCTTTTCTACATAAAAAATTCGTAAGCATTGACAATTTTGCATTGTATTGCCAACATAATGTCATTTTGACTTTTATCTTTAAAAAAAAAAAACAGACTTTAAGTCATTCTAATAACACCTGTATATTCTTCTTCTTCTTCTTCTTCAAAAAAAGCAACTATTTTTAAAAAGTGAATTGAATTTTTAAAATGCTACAGAAACGCGGGCTAGGACTGTGACCTAAAAATTTGAGGATGCCGAATTTTTCATTCGTGAATTCATTGATGAAAATATAAACTGGAAAAAACAAGTTTAATAGGTTACAAATAAGATAAGAAAACTGATTCATAAATTTTATGAATAAAGAAACATACTAAAAACTTAAATTCTTAGAATGGTAAGATCTGTTTTTTTTTTAAAGATAATTCCCCAAGTCAAAAATTTAGTAACTATGTTGGCAAAAATTTGAAGCATTGACAATTTTACATTGTATTGCCAACATCTCGGCCAACATAATGTCATTTTGACTTTTATCTTTAAAAAAAAAACAGATTTTACTTATCATTCACTTGTCGACTCCGTTCTTAATAGACCGATCTCCTATTACCTGGACTGCGCGCGTCGCTTGTAGGCTGCAGGTGAGCGTCCAATGAGAAGCAAGTTTATGACAGGCTTGCATCATATTCTTATTCAGGGGCCAGTTCAGAATGAATCGTTCCTTCTTTCTTTGTAACGTGTAATTTGACAAAGAGCAAACTAATACTTTACATATTACTTGAACTCACCGCAGTTTCGTTTAAGGTTATGTTAGATTATACTTGACGTATTCCTTCACAATTTCATTGAGCGATGTTGCCGGATGAAACATTTATCAAAATAAAAGTGCAAACGATGTTTATCCATTACAAAGCTCTTCTTTTGTCTGATTTAAGGCGTTGTGAAACACTTGAGACTATATTACTTCTTTAATGTTATAATGTTGGATTTGTATTGTCTACATTTGTTCTGAAACAATACAATCTGACTACACTGCAGCCTACGAGTTGCGCGCGCATGTCATCTTTTATTCTTTTCAAACTTGTATTTATTACAATGAAGCTTCCTTTTTTTAGTCATGGGAGATAGGTCTATTATGGGTTGGATGTATTGGGAAGTGCTAGTAAAACAACATGGGAGCCACTGTTCATTATCCAAAAGTTTATTATTAAAATAATGTTGTTGAAAAATAAACAATACTCTACAGATTTATTGTTTAATAAGAATAAACTTCTGACACTGGAACAGTTATATTTTATCAAAAGTGTAATAAGATTTATGATAGCATCACCTTATGATAGGTCTGTTTCTACAGAAATTACAAACCAGTCAGAGCGAATTTCATTGGTTGAAAACAGTAAGAAAACTAGTTTCAACTAATGAAATTTACTCTGACTGGTTTGTGATTTCTGCAGAAAAGAAACAGACCTTATAAGTTTAACTTGCAGCATCAGCTGAACACCCGAAATCTTGCAAGAAGTAATGTACTCATCCCTTCAGTTAAACATTTGGCCATGCAAAAGCATATTAACTTTACTGTCCCGAAGATTTATAGTTCCTTACCACAATAATTGAAAAGTAAACCATATTCCAAAATTAAACACCAAATTAAAAACTGGATTATAAATGGTAGGATCTGTTTTCCATTTATTTAAAAGAAAGAAAAATAAACTCACTAGCTTTTATGATGGTGGAATGGGAAACTATTGTTTTATTGTGAAAAATACCTGGAATTTGTGAAAATTTGATTGTAAATGTAATTTCCATTTGCAGCACAGTTGTTGAAGAAATTGTAAACTTGATCCTGGAATAAATTATTATTATCGAGATTATTATTACATAATATATTATTTTAATTATTCTAAAACATAACTGCATCTATTAAAGTATTGTACCTCATTTGTTATGCAGAAACTTGGTAAATCTTTCAATTCATTTTATCTAGTGTCCGACGTGAATCGATATATCTATCTTTGTTTAGCTCATTTGCATTCTTTACTATGCTAGAAAAATATAAAGGATAGGTGAACTCTTGTTACCTACTACAATAAGCAACGAATCCAAGGTTGTTTGAAAGAGGAAAGTTGCCTGCTGCGGGACTATGGTAACAAATAGAGATATTTTCTCACACATCCCTTCTCTATTGATTTCGAGAAGACAGGAGAAGCCAGTAAGTGCCATAGTGATAGAAATAACGATCTCTATTCATTACATAGTCCCCCAGCAGATAACTTTTATGACGTCATCTGGGGTGCCTGAACATAATGCAAATCTCCATTAGGCTTTGATTAGGCACCCCAGAGATGACGTCATCTTTTTCCCATTACCAGACAACCTATCAACTTTAGGAACCTTGCAATGAACCTAAATGTTTATCTCCATATTGCCAAATCTTTTTTAAAATACATATCTTTATCTAAAAATCAAATAAAATACACAGGGTGTTTCATTTCTGGGACACCCTGTATAAATAAAAATCAAGTAATTTGAAACAGAAATTGTTTAGACCAAACCAGTTCAAACTATTTTTGTTATAAAGATTTTTTTTGAGAATCTCAAATAAAAAGAGTTAGGGCCAGTTTCACAAACAGTGGTAACCCATCAGTAACCACAAGACCTACAATATATCTGTTTCATAATGTGTAGTTTTGCCAAAACCATTGGTCAAGCTTCAAAATATTCAATGTAGTCAACCCGCAACTATGAGTTTGATGACCACTGCAGGTTACCACCAATTGTGAAACTGGGCCTTAGAGAGAATACTCAGTACATAAAAATTATTTTGTGATCCAGTTTGATAAGAATGTAGGTACCTTGTAGACCAGTACTTATACAGGGTGTTTCTGAATAGTGGGATCAAACTTCTAGGATAAATAGTACTCATTAAAATTTTAAAAAAAATATGTGCAGCGTCGTACATGTGGTAGAAGTGAAACTTCTTGAAAACTATTCCCCCTCATACAACTTTTAGACAGCGTATGAGTCGGGGTAAAGATGAAGGGAAATGCGCTTCTGTAGTGACGTCACAAGCGTATCGGCGCTTGATAATAATAGTCTATAATCCTTGGTTTATGTCAATCCATAGAATTGTCAATCGTTCGTCGGCTGTCATTGTCATCGGCTGTCTTTCTCAGTCCCTTCACGTTTACATTATATTTTTCTTCTCTCTCGTTTAAAGAAATTTGTCAAAACGTGACGCGTCTTTTAAATCAGTCTCCATTCTCGTCCAAATATCAGACCGCCGCTTGCGATTTCTGTGAATGCTTAGTTTTTGAGATACAGAGTGTCAAAGTCAGGGTTGGCCTACACAAAACCCACCGTCAATATTGACAAAAACCCAGTGGGCTTTAGGCTTTTTGTGTCAAAAACCCACTTGTCCCACTCATACTCATACAGAACTCATTCGTACCATAATATCAATGAAAATTGAAAAATCTAAGGTTACCTATTGATTATTCACATTTTTCTTATCTATAGGCTAGTTTGGTTAATCCGAGGGTCAATCCTCCGCGAGCAAAAAGATGACCGGTCCCAGGTGGTTAGTTCTATAACTTCAACAGTGTCATCTTTTAACTCGCGGAGGATTAACCGAACTCGCCTTATATTAAATAAAATAAAAATCTTAAGGAAGAATAATCAGCTAAGGCTCGGTTTATTCAAATTCAGATAAACTTGCTGGTAACTATCAGCAAAATATAAATTTACTGTTCTATAATTTTATTGGTCGGCGGATAACTGGCCAACCATTGAAGAATCAGATTGCATACCTGACAGTTTGAGAGATGGTGAATAAACCGGCCCTAATAGGCAAATTCAATGGTAAATCAAACAATAATTCTAAGGTACAGGGTGTTTGTTTATAACTGGAACACTCAGTAACTTTTTTATTATTGAGAATAAAAAGGGCATGTTTAAATTGGAAAATTCCTTGGTAAATTGCAACGATCTTAATCGCTATAACGATATTTTTTGTCGCCATAGATATACAGGGTGCGCCAAGAAAGCCATTTTTTTAAATGGAATGCACTGTATATTTTTGAATTTTTGAAATTTTTAGAAAATTAGCTTCACTAACATATCAAACGCTATATGGATAACAAAAATATACACGGCCTTCCATTTAAAAAAAATACGTTTTTGGCGTACCCTGTATACCTATGACGACAAAAAAATATGATTGTAGCGCTTAAGATTGCAATTTACCAAGAAATTTTCCAACTTAAACATGCCCTCTATTTTCAATAATATAAGAAAGTTACTGAGTGATCCAGTTATAAACAAACACCTAGTACATAACTAAAAAAAGAATTTGTACCTACTGATATACTAGTAAATAAATAATTGAAACCAAATTAAAATCATAATTAACAGGTTTTTGTAGAGAATTTAACTGGCTTTAATTCGATAAATTCAATTTTGGAGCTTCTCAGGTGCAAGGTGCAAAGCTGTTAAAACCAAATTATGTAAAATCTTAATTAATATGTTTGTAGGAAATTTAATTGGCTTGAATTAGAGCCTGATTGCGTTGTTGAAATTGGATGATAATTAAAGGAGCGGTGAGGCAAAAACTGTCGCAGTGTTATTTTTGGAAAATTTTCAATGACACAAAATACAAATTGCCAACATACAAATAAAGTGATTATTTAAAAATCAATTTGAGTTAAAAAATAATGTTTACCTAAGTGATAAAAATTGAGACACCAAAATAATGTTCCTACATTTATATTTCAGGTGTTACTAATGGGAAAAAGTGGATCTGGAAAAACCAGCATGCGATCCATAATTTTTGCCAACTATATAGCCAGAGATACTAGACGTCTTGGGGCTACAAGTACGTTTGCAAAATTTACTTCGCGGATAATTAAAAAACAATCCATCAGGAGAGCTTTACAGGGCAACTAAAAGCAATCCTCTTAGCCTTTAAAGCCTTGCAAAGCTTTCCTGTAGTAATAATTATTGTCAAGAGGCTTCAAAAAACTCAAAATATTTTTTAGTTGATGTGGAACATTCTCACGTAAGATTCCTTGGCAACCTAGTGCTAAACTTGTGGGACTGCGGCGGTCAAGAAGCTTTCATGGAAAACTATTTCACGTCGCAACGCGACAATATTTTCCGTAACGTTGAAGTCCTCATTTACGTTTTTGACGTTGAAAGTCGTGAGCTTGAGAAGGATATGCACTATTACCAATCATGCTTAGAAGCCATACTACAAAATTCTCGGGAGGCCAAAATATTTTGTTTGATACACAAAATGGATTTGGTGGCAGAGGAACAGAGAGATGTAATTTTCAAAGAACGTGAAGCGGACTTGATAAGACTGTCTAAACCGTTGGATTGTACTTGTTTTAGGACTTCCATTTGGGATGAAACGCTTTATAGGGCTTGGTCTAGTATAGTGTATATGCTAATACCTAATGTTAGAGAATTAGAAACTAGTTTACAACAATTTGCCAACATAGTTGATGCAGATGAAGTTTTACTATTCGAAAGGGCGACATTTTTAGTGATATCTCATTGCCAAAGAAAAGAACACAGGGACATTCACAGATTCGAAAAAGTCTCGAACATAATAAAACAGTTTAAGTTGTCTTGTTCGAAGTTGGCAGCTCAGTTTCAAAGTATGGAGGTGCGTAACGAACTTTTTGCAGCTTACATAGACATGTTCACTAGCAACACTTACGTGATGGTGTGCATGTCTGATCCGCAGATTCCTTCTGAAGTTACACTTATCAATATCAGAAACGCTCGAAAACACTTTGAACAACTGGAAAAGGTTTCTAATAGTGGTGTTTTAGGACGGTAATTTTAATTTTAGATTTTGTGTTTTCATATTAATTTCAACAATAAATTATTTTCTTGTTATTGATGTACCAGTGTAAGTTGAAAAGCCATACATTTTAATTGTTAAGAAAAAAGATTAAATTTATATTGTTATATTATAATTAATTTATGTTCTATATGGTGAGTTTTAATGTTAAAACATCACAGAACCTCTTTATTGAATAAAGAAAATGAACATCAACAATATATGCATGTACAAAAAACTTTCCACACTTGATATCAGCAAATAAGAACCTGAGGTTCTCAGTGTCACTGAAAGTTGAGTCATGCTGTCTCAAGTCTGGCGATAAGTTAGATGTAAAAAAAAAAATGCAGAAAAAAACGGCTAATTCACAAAATTTACAGAACATGCACAATATACATACACTATAAAAATTGCAATACTTATTATAATCCATTCATAATGTTATTTTCATACCAAAAACTGGTCGTCGACCTGTGGACGAAGCAAAATCATAACGTCTCATTAGCCTAACCTCCTTTTTCCTCAAAACAATGGAGAAAGCAATTGACCAGTAAAAAAAAAATACATCAGAAGCGGCGAAACTCTATTGAGAAGATTGCTCTACGCAAAGCAATTTGCCTATCAGCCAGGCAAATCCCTAACAAGTGTTTTAAACTGTCTGGTTAAAGACATTAAAAGGACAATCGAGTGCAAAGAGATCGCTCTCGCAGCATTCATTGACAGAGAGGGTGTCTTCGACAACACCTCACATCAGTCAATCGCTAGAGCCTTACAAGAATGAAATGTTGAAGTCCCAATTGTAAAATGGATAGAGTCGTTGCTAAAACGCCGTCACGTTACGCCTGAAATAAACGGAGCATCAGCTATTGCTGTGTTACCACAGTCAGAGGGTGTTCTTTCTCCACTACTATGGAGACTTGGTGGACAAAATCATCACCAGACTGAGCAGTGCTGAATACCAGGTCATTGGCTATGCAGCCAATTTTAATCAAGGGCAAACATGAAGGCGTAATAACAAGCCGAATGCGGAGTGCTCTAAACATCGTTAAAAATTGGAGCGAAGGCGAGGGATTATCCCTTGAGCCAAGCAAAACAATTCTTGTCCCGTTCACAAGAAGAAGGAAGCTAAATTTAAAAGCCTCCACCCTTAACGGTACAACACTAACATTTTCCAACGAAGTGAAATACTTGGGGGTCACCCTGGACCAAACACTCACTTGGAACAAACAGAAAAAACATGCTCCAGATATATCAGCCATCTGGTCATGCCGCAAACTGGATGGTAAAACATAGGGGCTAAAGCCAGAGATGGTATTCTGGATTTACCAAACTATAATAAAGCCCATGGTCACATACGCCTCATTGGTATATGGTGGCCCAAAACTCAGCAAGTCACCGCTCAAATCAAGCTAAACAAGGTACAAAGGCTGATATGCCTAGGAATAACGGGAGCAATGTCGACCTGCCCCACCGCAGCCCTAGAGACGCTGCTTAACATGCCACCACTTCACCTATGTGTGAAAAAGAAGGCAATAATCAGGGACAAGACTTTTAGCTTTACCATACCAAAATTTGATTAGAAAAAAAAACAAAGGTAGCGGAGTCGCGATTTTTTTAATCCCAGAGAAACACTAAGTAATATTTTTACAATACATACTATGGCCTGATTTTTGATATTTTTCCTAGAAATCTGGGAAGCTTTGGAAAATGGAGAATTTTTTTAAATATCCAAAAGCTTTTTAGCTTTAACATATCAAAATTTGATAGGAAAAAACCAAAGATAGCGGAATTACGATATTTTACTCCCAGAGAGACTTCAAGTGATATTTTTACAATACAGATTATAGCCTGATTTTTGATTTTTTCCTAAAAATCTGGGAAACTTTGGAAAATGAAGAATTTTTTAAAATATCCAGAAGCTTTTTAGCTTCAACATACCAAAATTTGATTAGAAAATACCAAATTACGAATTTTTTAATTCCAAAGAGACACTAAGTGTCCTGAGTGATATTTTTACAATACAGTAGACTATGGCCTGATTTTAGATTTTTTTCCTAGAAATCTGGGAAACTTTGGAAAATGATTATTTTTTTTATATATACAGAAGCTTCTTAGCTTAAACATACCAAAATTTGATTGGAAAAAAGCCAAAGATAGCGGATCTACGATTTTTTAATCTCAAAGAGACACTAAGTGATATTTTACGATACAGATTGTGGCCTGATTTTTGATTTTTTTCCAGGAACAGTGGCGCACCCAGAAATTATGTTGGGGGGGGGGGGGGACTACATAGGTTGTGGCTTGTGACTGAAAATCTGGAGAAAAAAAATTTGAGGTGTCAGGGTGCCACGCCTGGAATATGCCACATTTTTTATACCTAAAAATAAAGTTTTGGAGGAGCGGCCTGGGGGAGGGGGGCCCTGGCCCGATGGCCCCCCCCTGGTTGCGTCACTGTCTCAGATAGTGGAAAGTGAGTCTGGCTGAAATTTTTCGGATCTTCAATTTTTCACTTGTCAGACGTATTATCCATACTCACAGATTATTAGCCGGACTATTTTTTTACGTAACTTCAGTATATTTCTCATTAGTAGACCTATTTTTATCAGTGGAAAAAAGGGCCGTGCATTCCGTAAGCTCTAACGCATTTTGCGCCTCAACCCATCGGAAAACCCCCCTTAAAATATATGAATTTTGCTTAGAATTACTAACCCTACAATTTTATCCATGTTATCCGACTGGGAAAATAAGTGCCGAAAATCATCACTGCCTCTTAGACTATAGGGATATAGATGTCGAAAAGAAGATAGAACGTCAAGCATATGACGAAGATATAGCAAGATGTAGAGAGGACATAGCAAAGCTTAACCAGAAAATCGAAAATCTTATTTTAATAAATTTAAACATAAAAGAATCAGCTACAACTTTCGAAAATAATGCTAAAAATGTTGAACAGAATATTCATGAGGAGGGGACTTACTTCCGCCATTGCTGTCCTGACTAAACTCCGCGGGAAACGAGCAACCGTACTGATAGGGTCACTCTTCTGGATAAGTGCTCTCAAACTGTGTCCCGATTTAGTGAACTCAGCTTAGCTGCGGAATTTTCTCTTTGTGGTCATGCCTCACAAACTAGTCCTCCCAGTGACTCAGAAAATAAACAAAATTTAAAAGCTCGTCTCAATATAAATAAAACTCAAGAACTTCCTCAACTATTAGTAGTTAGAAATAAAGTCTAGTGTGATTGGCTCCTCTTCATTTATCAGAAAGCAGTCTACCATCCGATTTGATATCAACTGTCAGTTTGGGAGGCAGCTTCTTCTTGAGGATATTTTTGACAAGTACTTTGATCTAAGTCGTCGTTTCACCAGACGCGATTATGTCATCCTCTTCTGCGGTAATGCTGACGCTTTCATGAGTAAAACTATCAGCGACAACTTAGTTGCCTATATACTTGATAGATTTTCTCACACTAACCTGATCATCGTTGGACCTCCCTATGCTGCCTCCAGGCCCATTTTCAACAACTTTACATACGAATCTGACATGGTCTTCAAGAAGGTCTTGCATAACAAGTAGGGCTCTCCTGCAAGGTTTCTCAGCTTCAATGAATTTTCCGATGACAGCGAGCTGAACTACTATGGTACCTAGCCCTTCCCACATTGCCAAGAAGAAGCTCCTAGAACACATAATCTCCAAGTTATTTGTGGTTCCAATCAATTCCGATGATTCGTTGGTCCTTCCTAATAATGAATGTATTGGGAGTGGTAGTAGTGATAATAGTCCAAATTTTTGAATTACGTCGACTGCAGAAAATTAGTCGTCTATTATCAGAATGTAAGAGGTCCTAGAACGAAATCAAGTGAGCTCTTGGCGAGAACTCACTCATTAGAGTACCTATGATATCGTATTTTTGTTGCAAACCTGGCTCAATGATCGCATTTTGAACTCTGAAATATTTGATCCGCGTTTCTGTGTTTTCCTGTGTTTTGGATTTGATCTTCGCTGATGAATTTGCGAAGTCTACTGTTATGTTGTGGCCATCGAATGCTACTTCGTAATTCACTATACTCTATGTGCTATACTCCCAAATTTAAGAATATTAGTAACCTCTACTTTCTATGTTTTCGACCGTGCCAATTTTACCAAATTAAATAATTTCTATGGTTCAACTGACTGGTAATTTTTGGCAACCACGTCGATTTGGCCGTCCAGAAATTTTATGAGATCCTACTCGATGGTATAGATATCTATGTCCCAAAAAGGACTGTTATAGGTCGAAAGTATCCCTGTTGGTTTGACAAAGATCTTCGTAAACTCAGTATTGTTTTTCAAATCATGAAGATGTGGATTTTTCCAATAACAGCTCTGTACAATTCTCTGCCACTTTGTCTTTTCAAATCAAATCAAATCAAATCAAAATATGCTTTATTGTCTAAGTAGATAAACTCTTATTGACAAAGCTGAATACTATTAAATAGATATTAATATAAAAACAATATACAATAAATTAATAAAATTCACATACAATCAATAATAATAATAATAATACTAGTAATACTAACAACAATCCAGGACTCAGAACATGAATAAAAAAAAAATTCAAATATCGAACACATATTTTTTTTTTTTTGAATGGAACAATACAAAAAAAAACCACCACACAGAAGTCGCAAAATTATCTAATTAACTGTGGAGAGCAGGGCAGGTTGAAATAAAAATAAAAACTAAAAACTAAAAAATAAAAAAAACAAAAAACTGAAAACTCAGGACAAAAACTTATTATTTAAAAGTCATCACAGTAAAATTCATGGAGACTATAATATGGCCTCGACATGAGAAATTGTTTTACACTTTTCTTGAAAAATTTATCATCCATCATCATTCTGTATACCAAAGGAATGTGGTTATACATTTTTATACTTTCAAATATAATTGAATTTTTGGTAAGTGTCGTCTTAGGAATAGGCAATGAAAGACCATTGCTACGAGTATTGTAAGGATTTGTTGAGGGGCAGAGTATTTGTGTTTTTTGTGTATCAGACACACTGTCTCCAAGATAAAGATACCTATTACTGTCAAAATCCTTCCATCAACAAATAATGGCTTGCAATGCTCTCTTGCTCTTACCTTAAATAGATAACGCACAGCCCGTTT